TTTTTTTTTACTATTCTCATCACATTCCATATCAGAACAGATCCTTTTTTCCAACATTATACCAAAACAAATGTGGAAATAACCATAAAACATAGTTTGACAATCCAGAGCTACTATGTAGTGAACTTCAGGTTTGAGAACAACCCTGCGATCATAGTGAGACACAGAGTAAAACAATGATTCTGGTGCCGCAAAGCACCCGTAAGAGAAGCAAACTCAACACAAACTGAGAGACGATGTACAAAATGTTTAACAGCAAACTATAGCTAATTGATGATGAAAGGCAAGCACTGCATGGCATGACTGTGCGCTAAAGTTCATCAACATCAGGACTTGACAAGGGACACACCAAAACTATGTCCATTAGCAAGGTAGAAAATACATTACAATAATCAATAACAGCGGTCTGATATTTTTAGCTCTTCTGACAGATCATCAATAGCAGCTATGAATAAGACATCTCAACACAAGTTGTGTCCAGATACACAGAAAAGCTATGGCATCGCCAAAAAATATAAATGGTTCAAGGACAAAAAAAAGGCAGGAAAAGAATAGATATGGTTTCTTACATTGCCAACAAAGACTGATCGAGAATCCACCTCCTCCTTGCTTGCTTGATTTGCTGCCATGCTTGCAGGATCTGCACGAAACAATCAATTGAGCATACGATGCAGTGAAGAGAAAAAAACAGCCGATTCGAACAAACTTCAATTACAAAGATCAACTAGAGCACTACCAAAAAAGAAAAATCCATCATCCAGAGAGAAGACATCACCATAGAATCCAGTGTTTCTAATTCCACTCAAAACGGATTCCGACAGAGCAAATTCAGAAAAGATCCAAACGCCCAATAATAACCTAAGGCGTGACAAGAAGACACGGTGAAAACGAGATAAAACCTTGAACAGCACCCATCTCCTTCTCCACTTTTGCCTGCATCTCGCGAAGTGCCGCGGCCTCTTCCTCCATCTCCTTCAGTCGCTTCTTCATCTCATCTAGCTCCTGGCGTAATAAAAATCAAAACAACGAAACCAATCACAGATAAATACACACAAAATGAGACGATTCAATCGCGAATACTATCCAATTCCCAACAAAATACGGAGAGTGAAACGGGAAGAGAGAAGGAGACCTTGACGGCATCTTCATCGGCGGCGGACATGACGACGTCTGGATTCGGAGCCTCCATTTCGGCTTCGACATCGGGGATTTCTCCTCCATATACCTCATGCTCCTCTTCCTCCATATTCTCGCTGCAGAAGAGCG